ACCCCATGCTACGATTTTTCTCAGCTTGGAATTAATGCGCTCAATAGGGGAGTGAATAAACACTCCTATACCACAATAAACACTTCAGTTCTGACTGTTACACATTGCTCTAATATCACTGTCTATTTCCTTCTGCTGGCACTTCGCATCAGTCATAATGCTGAACACCCAAATAATCCTTTTTATCAACGTTGTTTGCCTTCCTATCCTACCACACTCATCCCTTGTGTTCCGTTAGGAGAAATTCAGGGGCTAGAGTAGCACAACGTGAGCATTGAAAAGTGAATACCACGGAGTTGAAGATGTCGAGCTGGGAGCGTAGGGGTGCAGGAGAATACATTATTACCAGCATGGAGTGGTGCTGAAATGCCAAAACCAAGTCCTTTCGATACACTTATGAAAATGATGACTGAAACCAGAGAGACAGGAGAACCGATGTTGAGCCCTAGGCACGCACAGAGCCATGCCCATGGACCGAGTAGTAGCAGCATGAGTGTGCATATATGTGTGCGGCATCACACGAATGTGGGTAATTTCTCCAGTTAGGATATACAACCGTACAATTGAAGATAAATGCATAGACATACAAACGCATATATTCCATGTAAGTATTAGCTGACATTCCCGATTGCAGTTATGCATCTACACAGGCAGTTGAATTAACAAAATATTTTACAGATGCATTTACAAATTAAAGTGCAATCGCGGGTATTCCCTCGATCTCACAAACACATTTGGTATCTGCACAGAGAAAAACGTGTAGTCGCATTTAAACTGATATCTTCATAAAAAGCTTGGACAGATGGTTGATGTGTTTCATAACGGTCATTGCAATAAATACCTTGGGCATCAGTGCAAATATATATACCTCTCATTTGACGATTTCTGGACAGAATAAATTACCTGGTAACATATAGGGATAATACATGCGACCACTACTTTCTACAACTTGGACAGATGTCTCAGTGTAAAATTTGGGTACCTGTGTTATTGCATCGCATCCGTTTCATTTCTTTTCCTTTTGTTGACTAGCTGATATGCTGTGACATTAGAAATGGGTGGACCCTGATTTGGATGGCGGACCAATGAGAAGGCAATCAGTAATCAAATGATGGCTACGGAAAAGTGGCATTTGTGCTCGTATCATACAGCAGGCATTAAACTTAGACAGCATAGAGCTTAAGCAGAAGATTTTACAGTTATGTAGTCGTTTTTCATTAGTAAATTAGTGTCAGGTTAATCGACATGTCACAGTGCAACATGCAAACTTCTGATTAAATAGCGAAAGAAAACCCCACCTTTTGAGGAGTCATTTACTTTTTAACTAGTTAGCAGTATGCTCCTTCAGTTATGAGAAGTGCATTTTTTGTCCATTTCGTGCGCATTATTCTCCCGTCATTGTTAATCACAAATTTTGGAATTAATCGAATTTTTAGACAACTGTAATGCCTCGTCTAAGTCAGCTATTTGGCTGGCAAAGTTGATTAATAAACTGGCTGCCTCACTAAAGTAGCAGACTTAGCACCTACATTATGCAATCATTCTTTAGGGGAAGAGGCACGAAAAAATGTGATTCGTTTCTTACTGCAAAAATTGCAATGACTTCTTTATAGAATCTTCTGCGATTCCTTTAGATCTTTTGGTAGAGTTTTGGCTCTGGAGAAATAATAAAGAAAGGTTATGAGAAGATGGCAATGAAATGGAGAGGGAGACAGAGATAGAGAGGAGGAGCGAGGGAATGCAACAAGCAATTAGTAAATGGACCTAGAGTTGCAGTAAATTATTCACCAACATCAACAATCACTCCCGTGGCTGCCACTTCTCATTCATCTACCCCTAAATTCATACATTTCTGGTTTCCTCTTCCCTGCCTACTTCCAACTTGTTCCTCATTTTCCTTTAAACTCTTTGCCTCTTCTCATGGCAACACTTCTGTTAGCTTCACCTGACCCAAAACTATATCTCAGGGTCAAAAGGCACTGTGGAAGAGGTATTGTTAATTCCTAACCAGCTAACGTCCTCTACCCATTCCCATGGCCAAGTGAGCAAATGGGAATTTGGTTAAACACCTTCTTCCTCTCCGATTGTCAACATTTGACAATGTCAATGTTTGGCAAATTTTGCCATTTACCTGTATGACAACACTGGATGAGAGAATTTAGACCTTTGGATGGTATGTAAAATTGGTAGTGTATAGTGAAAACGTCAGAAATGAAGGAAAAGAAAACTGATGTTAAGGGAGGCTGTAACCGGCACCCACAATAAATGAGGAAGGTGTGGCCTCCCCTTACAGTAGTGGAACTTGGACCAAAAAAGGCATATGGACAGGATGTTCAGACCCGCACATCTTACTGAACAAAACTGTTTTATCGTTAAGGGAGTGTATTTTTCACTGGCACGAAACAGCATTCGTACAAACTGGTTCTGATTTGTGCCAGGTAGTGTTTGCAGCGGTCTTCGTTACCGCAGTGGCAGTTTGCTCCTCGGATCAGAAAATTCTGCCAATACACAGCCGTGCGGGTGACACAGACATCTCCTGTAGATCGCGTTGCCACATTAGTGTTGTGGGTGTGCAAAAAAATCAACATAAAAAAGTATTGACGAAATTGAATTCCAATGAAATGGTTGTGTGTTAGGTGACCACCACCGTGGTCAACGAAATAGTCACAACAAGCTGTCAATGCTACTTAAGTTAAAAGTAGCACAACGGAGTGAATGGTAAGCATCGTAATGAAACATTTCACGTTGATTCAATAAAACCAAGTGAGGAAT